CATTTCCATGCTCCCTCATTCATTCCCTCACACCACTTAAAAAAAAATGTACATCTGAGTGTGCAATGGGGAAGGAACCTTAGAACCTTAGAAATTTGAAGGGTTCCCAGGCTTACTACTGGGGAAGCAGGAGCAAGCCTGATTGAATAAAGATATTTAGAAATCTCAGGTTGCCAGCCTGTGGAGAAGTCTCTTAGCTACACATTCTGGGATCTTGGTCCAGCTTCAGGTCTGGTTATGCAACTCTGAGGGCCATGATGATGAGACCCTACCTGAAGTACTGTGTTCTGTTCTGGGGCCCTTAGCACAGGAGAGACACGGATCTGTTGAAGCTGGTCCAGAGAAGGGGCACAAAAATTATCAGAGAGCTGGAGCACCTCTCCTATGAGAAAGGCTAAGAGAGTTGGGGTTGTTCAGCCTGGAAAAGAGAAGGCTCTAGAAACCTTACAGCAGCCTTTCAGTACTTAAAGGGGACTAAAGGAAAGATGGTGACATACTTTCTAGCAGGGTCTGTTGCAAGAAGGCAAGAGGTAATGGTTTTAAAGAGGATAGATTTAGACTAGATACAAACTAGAAGTTTTTTACAATGAGGGTGGTGAAACACTGGCCCAGGTTGCCCAGAGAGGTGGTAGACTCCCCATACCTGGAAACATTCAAGGTCAGATTGGATAGGTCTCGGAGGAAGCTGATCTAGCTGAAGATGACCCTGCTCACTGCAGAGGGATTTGATTAGATGGTTTTTAAAGATCTCTTCCAACCCAGACTATTCTATGAAAAGAAACATTGCCAGCTTTTGTATTCTTGACCTGCAATTCTTAGTAAAACAAAGTAACAACAACAAAAAATTGCTCATTTGAGCATCAAAGTAATTTAAAATCTTTGACACTGGTAAGTGTCAAAAAGGAGTAGCCCGGTTTCAGCTGAGGAAAAGTCACCCTCAATTCTGCATTGCTCTTAGGTGCAAAAGTATCATATTCATGAAGAATGACCACAAAGGATTGTACAGTGCTTTGTAGGCTACAGCTTTCGTATAGGCAAGTGTGCAGTTATTTTCAGGATATAAATGACAATATAACCAACCAGGTAGAACATGCAAGAAAATATGCATTGGTGTTTTATATGACTTATCCCCTTGATTAAATTCCTGGTTGGAGGGTAGATTTGTCATCATCTTACACCGTTCCAAATCTTACCCAAGTGTTATCCACTGTTAACCAAAGAAAAACTGATCACTCCATCATCATATAAATTGATCTCTCTGTGACTTGGCAAGGAGTCAGAGCAGTGATGATATTGACCCTGTCAGAATATTAGGTCTAATGCCCAGAGGCATCAACCTTTGTTTAACAAAAAGGTAAATCTCTTGATGAAAGGCAGCATTTTATTACTATCCACCTGCAACAAATAGCTAATTTCTTACCAGTATAACTCAACTGCTGATACCGAAGAGCAAAACTTGTACTTTACTTTCAGAGGCTCTTGAGTAATTCACATTGAGGTCATGGATCAAACCTGATTATTAGAGCTGTAATGACCCTGCAAATCCTGCAAGCTGTTATGTCCAGCACAGAGGGCTAAATGTAGCAGCTGAACCTTGAAGAGACAGATGGAAGTTGTGAATAAACTGCATTTAGTTAAGAACACCAATCAAGTTGCAGGAAGAGGATGTCTAAGCAGGAAAGTTGTTCTTGACTTCTGCAGCAGTATTTATCCTTCCAATTGCCTTGCATTAGTTCTTCTGAGGGAACCCACATAAAACTGGGTAATCACTTCTATAGTCTCAGTTCAGTTGTCTCAGAAAATCCTAGAGCTAGTACTTTTCCATGGCATTTGAACAAATGACTGGTAAGATTATGTTGCCAAGGGCCCATCAAGTGCAATCTCACCCCATCCATCAGTGTTTGCCTCATCCTCAGCAGTCTCTCATCTTCTGAGAGCATCTTGCCTTTAATCAAACATGTTAAGCCAGCATTACGTCAGGCCTTTCCTTACATATTTCTCTGCTCTGTAAAATCTAGTTCTGCCCATAAGCAGGTATCCCTGGTTTGTCTCTCTACAGATGGTTTTCTGTGGCATTCTGCATAGCCAGCCTTGGTGGTACCGGCTCAGCTTCTACCACAACTCAGTTCCAAAGTTATTATTTTCTCTCAGTAGAGTTTATTTTTCTTTATTAAAAGCAAATGTCACTGGGGCTTTTGAAATCTGTGGGCCTACATGGTAGGTTGCAGGAAACAATACTGCTTTCCAGACTTAATATTCTTTAATGTGTTTGTTAACAGAACATTGACATCTGCTTAACACTTTCTTTACAAGAATCTATAAGCTCTCCCCTTGTGTATTTCCTACCAACCTCAACTATCAGCTTTCGCTTTACAAAAAGATGAAGTCAGGAACAATGTGGCTCAAAGTTCCAGACATAAATCTTGCATAAACCTTTTGGGTTTTTAATTATTTTGGAAAGTGTGTCTGCTCTTTCAAAACCTTTTGATCGCGGTGATCTCATATGCTGAGCTGCTGCTCAAACAAAAGCCACCCATTTGCTGTAAAGCTACAAAGCAGAGAAGAAAAGCAATGAACTAAGGGACAGATAGTTAATATAAAGTTGTACTCTTGTGCCAACGCTACCAGCAAAGCTCTAGTGCAAATTGGATGCCTCATTGGAGAGAATTTTTAGCAGTCTAAAAAGAAACTGCAGCATCTCAGGTGTTTTTTTTGAATCTCTCTTATAAAACCAGTCTCACGTACCATAAACTCCCACTTGCTATTTTTAACCCTTGGGCTGCCTTGTTTTGTTTTCATTTTGTAAAAGCGAAGGAATGTGAGAGAGATGTCTGTTACACTCCTGCGCTCCGCCCGAGGGTTAATTACTCAGTTTGGTAGACATTTGAAAATATTATGTTACCTTTAACGGCAAAATTGATAGAAGCTTGTTTCAGGCTCACTTTATGTCATTACGGCAGATTAAATTAACTAATCATAAATTATGCTGGCTAAAGTACATTTGCTACTCACTAAACCTGCAGCAGAAAGGGAAGGGTGTGGGGTTTTCTTTCTGAATAAGATGTAAAAGCCATGCGGAAAATTACAGACTTTTTCAAACCAATAGAGTTACATTTAAACAAAGTGAGCTTGACTGACTATCCCAAATACAGCAGCAACAGATTCTGAAGACCATGGCAGCAGCCTAGTACTGAACCTGTAGCTGCTGTGGAAAGGCATTAACACAGCAATGATGCAAGGGTAAATCCAGAGATCAAAGAGTAAAGATGGTCCACTAGATGATCGGGAAGGTCAATTAATGAAGAACAAGTGTGCTCACATTATTGTTAGATGCCTTTGAATACGTATGACCTAAGAGGTACGTGTTTACAGCCCCTACTCCCAAACACACCTTCTATCTTCTGTTCAAAGGGGCTAAATGCACCATGTCTGTGTGCTTCCAAGGAAAGGATGTACATATACATCACTGATCTAAGACAAAATAGATTTTACAGTGATCTTTTTGTTACCCTCCACATTGCAGGATGTAAATGTAACAGGTGATATCAAGTCAGTATGACTGAATTCCTAAACAGGGCATGGACAACTGACGTTAGAGGTGTGTGGGAGGAATGGAAAGAAAACACAGGCATTCCAGACCTCTTCTGTGCAATATAAAGTATTGAGTCCCTGTCTGTAAACACATGGTAGACCAGATCAATCAATGACATTAAATGAGGATTTTCTTTCTTTTCAAAGAAAATAAGGAAGAAATGCAGTATTATGTTGTATTTCATGTGAAATTACATATGCAGTTGCCACTAAAAAAGCAGACATTTTTTTGGATGACCATATAGCTTCCTCACGTCAAGGAAACAAGCTTTTCTGGACACCTCCAGAAGAGTCCAAGTAAGATGATCAGCCTTCCAGTGACCATGTTTAGAGGGAAGGTAAAAAAAAGATTGACAAATCTGCTGTGTTCCTTCCCTCTGTTCATCCATTCCCAGGTATCTGCTCCGTCAGTCCCTTGATGCAGGTGATGTTCTTAGTATCATGTTCATCCTTTCCCCTCTTGATTCTCTCCCATTTCATGTTCTCTAAACAGTATTCCCCAAACCATCCATGCATGATGCATAGTTACAAAAATGTCAGAAGGAATGAGATATAACCACCCAAGAATTTAGAGGACAGAACCAAGGTAGGGAATTGTGTCCCTCACTGATATGTAGAAGGCAATGATGAGGGGTTTAGTTCTGCAATGAAAAAATTCTATAAACTTCCTCTGAAAATAAAAGAAAGCTTAGATCACTATCAGTCACTGGATAACCTATTTTAAGCCCATCAGAGCCAGTGTGCCGTTCTCATGTTGCTAATTAAAAATGATAGATTCATCAATTAAGCTCTCTTCCTGTCCCCTAGTCTTAGTATGAGATTTTTCAAAGGGACAAATGGTAGTTTTGTGCCCACAAGTATCATTTCAGCCCTGAAAACTTGTGCCTTTGTCAACATGAACCTGACCTTTTCTCTTTTCACTATGAAATGACAAAAAGAAAACCATAGGAAGCTTTGCCACCCTAAAAAACACAACAGATTAATAAACTGGGAATGATCTTATCCTCTGTGCAATGAACACTGCTGCATATATCCTTCCTGGGCTCCAGCCTGAACTTGCGCATTGATAGATGAATAAGCCTCTGTTAAATTTGGCAGAGAGAGATGTCCTAAGCTTAGGCTCTTGATTGAAACTCAATTGCGATACTTACTACAGAGCAGTCAGAGACACTCCACTATTTAGGAAAGAAGCAATGAAAGCAATCTATTTTTATTCATATTGAAACGGAGACAAAGATAAAGGTCCCTCTCTTAGCTTAGCAAAGTGCCAGTCACATAAAACAAGCCAACGAAATGGGTTATCTTTTCCCCTTTCAATATATGTATCACCAGGCAGTGAAATAGAATTGGGGTGTACAAGGTTAACAAGCCAGCATCATGTTATGAAGCAAGCAATAAAATTGTCTTACAGTTCTTAACTCTGACCTGTTCCAGTGAAAAGCTGCCAAGCAGAATTATATCATCCTGAACATCTCTCTCAAACTGTTCGATATATGAAGGAATCACTTCATCTTCAAGCTCCCTGTGAAGGTCACGTGCCTTACTGGAGTTGACAGACGTCATGGAGTCTGGGAAATCTTCACTGGCCACATGAGCTGCTTGAAAAAAAAAAAAAAAAAGTGGCAGATTATGTCTGAGGAAATGGGAGTTCATTCACTGGTTAGTACGTGCTCAGTAAACAGTTTTGGCCCACCAGCATTTCAAGGCAACAATTCATGCTGTAAAATGAGCAATAATAAACAGCAGCAGTAGAGCTGGTAGGTTCCAAGTGCCATTACCAGGAAAGCTCTCCTCAAGAGCAACATCTGTATACAAGAACAAATTTTCTTTAAATAGTTTTATAAAGCAGTGCTCTACATTTCCACAGTCACTTTGGTCTCCTGTAAATCTAAAAGAAATTGGGATTAGGGACAACTCTGGCTTTCACCCCTGAGAAGGGGAGGAATAATTGTAATTGAAAAGGAATTTTAGGTGGAGCCACACCAAATATTTCACCTTCCTCCCACTCACCCCGAAGGGTCGGATTCTCCCTTCCAGGTGTGTGCTTGCAGCTCCTGCCTAATTCATTGGGTCCAGTTTTGCTTTCACCCACATTGCTTCCCTGTTTTCACTTGATGTATGCAGGACCAGAGTACATGCTGCACATAATAAATCCCATTCAGAAAGTCAACTTTAAAGAGAAGCTGTGTCTTTTTTTTTCAGCCTTATTCATCATGCTACAGTACTAATACTAGTTTGGGTCATAAATAAGAAAGATAACGGTTTTTGCTCATTTCTCCATGTTAGAATCACTAAAAAATGACAGGTTGTTCACATCTGACTTTATCTTGCTTGCCTCTTGTTTCTGTATCTAAGTGCATGTCTTTAAAATTCTCTGCTCCTTTCTCTACAAAAAACCCCACCATATCTAGTCATTTGCTTTTCTCTTTGTCCATCCTAAGACATGAAAGCAGTTACAAGATTTTTTTTTTTCCTCACTCCCCTTTGAAGTCTCTCATTCTCTAATGAAGACCAGAAAAGGAAAGATAAAACTAAGGCTATTAAAATTTTCAGTTTTGCTCACTACTCATTGTTTAATGACTTTAATTGTTGAGCCTCCCGAGTACTTAAATCACCTCAGTGCCACCAACACACAGGAAGTAGGGTGTTTGTTTGGGTTTTTTTAATTGCAACAGGATACAATTCAAAATCATGTTGGGGGAAGTGTACAGTAGATATAAACAACCCAAACCATTACCCTAGGGTACACAATCTCTTCATGTAACATCTTACAAGCCTAAGGAAAAGTGATTTGACCTACAACTATTAACTGCAAAAACAAAACAATATTTACATTTACAGTAACATTAAGGGTTTGGCTAGGAGAGAAAAAAAATCCAGGAAGCACTGGAAAAGGAAACATTGCCAACAGCAGAAGATGCAGCATCACTTGTTCTCCTTGTTGTACACAACAGGCCATATGCTCAGCTGGTATAAATCAGCTGCTTTACACTGCTTAAACAGGAGTAGTGCAAGTTTACATCCTGGGGAGTCTGCATATTCCTATCTCAGGATCCTCTGGCTGTAGATAGATGGCCCTTGTGTGTCAAAAAAGGAAGAAAACCACTTGGTTCACAAAGAAAACCATGCAGTAATGCACAAAAATGTCTTTTGTCTTTTTTGTATTTGTTATTTTTGTGATTAAATGTGTCAAGCAAACTCAGTTTTGGTGGAAGACACTGGGCACATTTTGTGGAAAAATGGCAAGAGAAGAGAGAGATTTTCAAAAGCATTTTTGAGCGAAGAAACTGCTAAACAGAGAGATAAATTACAATTCTGATTCAAAAAATCTTTTATTAAAAGATACATATGCTCATTTGAGCACAATTGGAAAAACTGTTCATTTGTTTGAGCTGCAGACAGGGGGAGAGCAGGGTTGTTTAGCAGGTTTTACATGAAAAAAATGCTGGCTTTGCAGAGAGACCTCAAATACAGCCACCATCAGGTTGCCCGTTGTCTGAACTGACCCACAGGTTAGAGGCTTGAGCTGCTGCTCCAGAGCAATGCTTGACCAAAACAAAGCCTCCACCTCCTTGCTGTACAAAATTAGCCCCAGCGGTAAAAACGTTACTACTTAGTGCACATGGGATGAAATGGCTGAAAGTTTACAGGGAAATTCACTGGTAGATTGATAAATCAATTAAAAACTAAATTATTTTAATTGTTAGGATCTGCATCAAAATTTTCGTCTCTTCAAGTGTACTTACCAGCACAAGTCATACTTTCCTCATAGTTTAAATCACTTCTTTTTAGAACAGATTGCATTTGCAGATGCTGTGCTGTAATTAAAACAACCTCTCCAGCACTGGCTTGGCTGCTTGTAACTTCATTTACTTCCTGCATTTGTCCATCAGATTGCAGTGTTTTTTTTATATTGAGATGAGAATTTAAAGCATAGATTCACCAGTAGACTACACCTCAGCATGGGTTTGAACATATAAAGCAGCTATAAACTCCATATGGAAAATGCCTTTTGACTACCTGGTTCTAGAACACTGTGTATAAATTGTATCTAAAAAAATACAAAGGCTCATGGATAAGTTTCAAACAACTAAAATCCTGAAAAACATTCAACTTCAATTTTTTGGTTGCTGTCAAAAAATAATAGAAAATATTTTTTCATGGTATTCACCTAGCATCATTTGAGGTGTGCATGGATCACAATCTTATATTGAGAGATTTTTCTCCCCTATATAAAAATATACAGTCTACATCTTTCTCTAAAAAAGCAAACAACCAATGTCACCTTTCAAGCTGCTTTATAAATTTCTAACATGTAGGATAAATTTGACCAACAGGTTACTCAGTGACAAAATACTTTAAATATACAATTATATTAATTCTGAGCCATGTTCTTTCCTCCCCTTTGGGGATCATCTATTAATTAGAACTGTATGACTACGTGATTTTTCAGCTCAGTGGTCAAATGAAGAAAAGAAGCAGTTCTGTTAGAGTGGAACCAAATGAATCCTAGTTTTCTATGGATTTTCTGATGCCTAATAAGGGTCAAACTCTCATATTAGTTTTTCCCTCAGTGGAGACATTAATAATGCTTGTCTACTCTGCTCAGCTGCCCACTTCCATAAAACTGGTAGGGAAGTCAAACCTGTGAGACTTGTTCTCACTAAAAAAAAAAAAAAAAAAAAAAAGAAGTGAACAATGGGCTCAAAATCTGGGAGGGAGAAACACAGGCAGGCAGAAATAAACACAACTCAATATATACACACAGAGGTGTAGAATGAATGAGTCTCCCTTCCTCAGGGAAATCCTGCACTTGTCAGTTTATTTTTTTTCACCCAAGCCAAGAAAAGAAAGAATTTAGCTAGGATAAGATGCAACATTCACTCACAGCACTAGCTTTGATACCTTTATTTTTTTAAGAAATAAAATCTCTGAGGCACTGCTCAAGACACAAGACAGCAGTGGGCTGTGGCATTTCCCCTTCTCGCTGCCTTCATGACTACACATGTAGGCTCCAACGTGCTCCTAGAGTGCAAAACACATGTGTTAATACCTTTGCTTGTCCTTAAATTAAATTGGTGAGCTGGCAGCTCAGTAATCTCAGCAGCCTCAGCATGAAATCACTGTCTACAGAGCAGACCTTATACTTCCAAATTACTTTGGAGGGGTAAAGGTTTGAACCTGTCTCAGACCCCACGTAGCCAAACAGTAATAAGAGCAAGTTGCCTCTCATGGTGGTTTGATAAAACTAGTTGGAGAAAAAGACATTTTTATTTCAAACATACCTGGTGAGTTTAAATCATCAACATTTGAGGAGATCAGTGAAATCTTATTTCTCTTTAGACATGTTATTTGCTGATAGGATTTACTCCTCTGTAAAGTATCTGTTCATCTTAGCAACATTCATTAATGTTATTTCTAATACAATATAAAGTTTTAGGGCACCTAGCTCAGTGGGGGAGCAACCACTGATGGATGAGGAAGACTTTCCCTTTACTCCCTGGTTCCCTTGTTTAAAAGCAGACAAATACACAGCGTGCAATAATTCAGCTCACTTAGCCTTCAGCCACAAAAAAAGTGATGGTCAAGCCTAAGTCAGCTGTCAAAAATCCTCCTAGAGCCATAGGAAAGAGAAGAACTGCTTCAAGGATGCCATTTGTCTAGTCAGCTAAGGAGTGTCTGCATGAGCTGGGCTGAACTACTGCCCAAGGTCGGTTCTCCCTGCTTCTCCCAGCACTTAGGGAAAGCCTCAGAATCTAACTTTCGGAAAGCTAATGGAAAAGGTGCTGGATCCCACCCTGTGGCAGCCTGAAATATGTATTTGGGATATTTTTCTTAATCATACAGATTTATTTTGATGATAAAGTTATGGAAGAATATGAAATGCTACAAATGTTGGCAGACAATGACCACTTGAATATCTCAGATGGACAACCCGTGTCAACCTTTCCTATACAAACATTGTTGACTTCACGGCCAAACGTTTTTGTTTTAATCAAAGTTTTTGCAGGATAAAAGCAACAACCAACCTGCAGCACTGCTACAATGTTTCTCAGTAATATGGAGCTCTACATTAACATGCAACAACGGAGGACTTGCTAATAATTTGTTAAAGGTTTTTGTTTAAACTTTCTGAATTTAACTGTGACGGCTTTACTTTCTTTTCCTCACACGTAAAGAGACAAAATGGGTTTCAAAGATGTTACTGGTATGACCACTGCCAGTTCCAGGGATTTTGCAACCCTAGGCAAATGAAAATGTCTCTTCTAGAGCAAAGGTGCTCACAAACTAAATAGCCATAAGACATATTGCAGCTCCTTGTGCTCTAGTGCCACAGGCAACCACCTGCTTTGTCTCTCTAACAGAGTAGATCCTGTGTATAACTGAAATATCACAGGAAACCTCATACAGATACAAAGATCAGAAAATACTTTTGCACAAAAGACTTCTTCTGGAAAAAAAAAAAAAAAAAAAAAAGATTAGGGGGTGTGGAGAACACCCAAAAATATGAAGGCAGCCCTGAGCCTGAGCTTGTTCTCATGTCACTTCTCCTAGGAGCAGCGGACATGCACCTCGTGTAAAGGCTGTGGTCATAGCAGTCTCATTAGTCAAGTAGGTGTTAAATAACATCTGTAAAAATAAGTGAAGCCAAAGTAAGCCTCTTGGCTTGAAGAGTAGAAGTCTCTTCTCCTACACTTTGTTGTTTTTACTGCAGATGGAACATCAATTTTTGTTTTCTAACAAAGCCACAGAAAACATTTTCTTACTCACTTATTAGCATAAATCCTTACATAGATAACCTCAAATACTGTGTGACACAAGCCATGTATCTGACAAATGATCCACCCATTTATGAGCATAAATAAGGATTTAGTTTTTTAACTTTGAGCACCTAAAACAATTTATTTCCAGTCTTCATTCATAAGGATGAAATTCAACATGCAGCAAAGCAGCTTAGAGAAAGCCTACCACTTATATTACAGTTAAAACCAGATAAACATGACTCAAAATAAAAACAGTTGGGAAAAAAAGGTCTTACTGGCTCATGTCAAAATCAATGTCCCTTTTACTTCTGAGTTCAAGAGGATGGGTTACCCACTCTTCTCCCCACATCCAGACTCAAAAGCGTTTTATTTTTCTTTATGCAAATTATTTTGTTATTTACCTTGGAAGTCCAGCATCTTGTTTTCTTCCTCTAGAAGCTTCATCATTTTATTGTACAGGACATGTCCATCAAATTTCACAGGATCTTAAAAACAACAACAACAGTGAAACATGTATTGTTTCTTCCCGTAGTATTTCAGGAAACACTATTTTAAACTTTAAATAAAGATATCAAAATAAAAAAGTTAATAAACCACTTGACAACTAAATGCAGTTTCCATAGTGCTAGTTTGATAGCAGAGGTGACTGTCATTTTCTTCTGAGTTACGAAAGACAGTTTAAATAAAATACATATATATAATTTAAATGGTGAACAACACTGTATCTTGATCTGGACTGAAACTAGTTTACTAATTCTGCTAATGGACTAGTTGAAATTACTACTAATATTCAAATTACGAGATGAATTCTAGTTTACTCTTAGTGGAAACAAAGTAACTAATTTCTTTTCTTATGTAGTTTTGGATCTATTAGAAATTGTACTTTACTGTCCATAATACTGACATGTTAGCATGTATAAACAGTCACTACAGCACACTATGAATTCTGATTTTGTGGCTGGTCACTCATTCAAATTCCCAGAAACATTTGCAGATTTTATAAATGAGCAAGGAACACACACATGTACCTTTTTCCATGAGGCCTAAAAATCCTTTCAAGCAGCTATGTACAAAAGGCAAAGAGTTGGAACTAAATTATCTTTAAGGTCCCTTCCAACCCAAATCGTTCTGTGTTACTATGAGAAAATACCACTTGAGACTGTCTTTTCAGATCTCCCAGACCTCTGACTGCTCTGGGTTGTCAGTGAAATAGGTGAGTAGAAGACCAAAACAACCTTCAGTGGCTCTTAAATGTTTGACAAAATTTCAAAGAATAAATTTTCTTCACCATGGAATTTCAGAGCCAAGTTTTTTGGTTACACTGAGCATTCAAAGAAGGAGGCTTCTGCAAACCTCTTCTGCAAGTACAGAATCTTTAGCTTTTTTTAGAGTGTAAGGTTGAAATATTCCCCTGGTGATGGGGGGATAGCAAATCCATAGTGGAGTGTTGTTTGTTCTCAGGGCATTATCAACTCTGAAATATTTCCAGAACAAATCTAATTTGTCAAATATAGAAAAGATAATTGCTAATATCTTAATTTCCACAGAATAACCCATTAAAGAATCCCATATGATGAGCACATTAAAATTATATTTAACTTTGTATAATAGAGTTAGTGGCAGAAGATTTGCTTTTCACCAGCTATTCTCTTTGGGTATTAGGCCTGACTTGCTTAAGTCGTAAAAGGAGTATAACTTTGAAGTGTGCCCTGATTTCTTCATCTTGTTCTGCTTTTGTCTCTTGTTAGTGACCAGCTGCTAGCTGGAAAAAGGTAAACAAATAAGGTTTCCAATCAGAGCATGACCAGACTTCGAGTTTTGCCTGTTCATCCATCCACTACATACAAATGTATTTTCACTTATTTAACACTTCTGTAAGGAAAAATAAACCAGAAAACTAATGTGGTTTGTGAGCATCACCAAATCAGACTGGTTGAGGTTGGCAGGGCCCTCTGGAGATCATCTGGTCCAGCCTCCCTGCTTGGACAAGGCCAAGTTGCCCAGAATCATGTCCAGACAGCTTTTGAATAGCTCCAAGTTGAAAGACTTTCTCTCGGCAGAGGTGTCAGTAAATATTGGTGTTAGAACTGCTCTACAGATGTTAACACAACCAACCTGAGGCCAGTACTGCTGCTAACAAACAAGAGTTACCCCAACCTCTGAGTGACATTTTTGCTGAGGAGAAAAAGGAGGAATATCAAAGGGCAGATGCTCACACCTGGATCTTAGGTCTAGCCCAATATGCAAGTACCTAAAGCCACCTCTCCACTTCCACCCTGAAACTGGATAGATATTCTAAGAGCTTTCCTATATTCCAGATTAAAATATATATATATATATGTTAATGTGTATCATTCAGCCTTCTTGATACAGGCAGGAAAGTGAACAGTTTCTCTTGATGAAAACTACTTCCAAATATCCCTTATACCACCATGCTATTTGTATATGTTTTTAGGCACACATGTACAGTTGCAGAAATTTAATCTCCTTTTCCTTCTCTGGATGTGAAGCAGATCATAAATCATGAAGCCTATTCTGAAGATGAACTACGGCGGTACCAACAGAAAGAAAATATTTCATTTAAAAACCCTGAGCCAGAAGTTGACTTCCATAGCATGACATTGCTGCCCTATACAATGAATGGGGAAATTAGAGTGGTTAGATATAATTCACTCTTGATAAATCTTGATTTTTTTCCACCAGTACACAGAAATTCAAGTTACTGATTTGCATTAAAGCCTGCTTTTCTCAGTCACAAAAGTTTTTATTTATAAAGTTTAAACCTCCATATTTACTCAAAGTTTCTTATGAATTTCAGAAGTGACCTGTTTTGAGACCCTTTACAGTAGACAATCTTTTTTAGGTTTGACTACAGCCACAGGTCTAGAGATTCTCTACATTTCAAAATAAGCCCAAGGTATAAAAAAGCACTGGGCTAGGAAGGTAACACAGGAGAACAGTCTTGCGTGATCAGGTTGTTACTGGTTGACAACAGGAGCTAGGCCAAAGTGCATAACTAAGCACTTCATAACCATGATGTTGTTCTTACTTAAGTCCATGCAAATTCAGGCAGGTCTGTTCCCACCCTTTTATATCTAAAAGCCATGACAACAATGGAGAACTTCCTCCACGCACAGGGAGAGACAATACTTCCTGGTTAATCTCGCTCATACCTATGCATAACTTCTGTTCTCCCAGATCTGCAGTCACACCCTCACTGTCCCTCCTATCATCCACAGATAGTAATGCTCAACTTCTCAGCTAAACTGACAGAAAGAAAGCCAAAAGAGCCTCCTCATGTACTAGGAACTTTTACAGACTCAGGGGTTTCATTCTGTTAGGCAAACACATACTCAGCTCTGTAATAAAATTGCTCTTGAGGAAGAACTTTGGAAGCAGGGTTGCAAAACAGCTACATCTTAGTACTCAGTTCTGGACTGTTTCAAGAGAACATGGTGTAGACAATGTTCTTGGAGTGTGCTTCATTTTGCTATGGTAGCAGAGTGAATACAGCACAGCCTCACTTTTACCTGTCCATTAACTCACTGTCCTTGATCAAAGACTATGCATTCTGCCTGTCGTGTTCAGAGCTGTTAAGGTTTATAATTTAAATTGTAAACCTCAATATTTAAATAGAACTGCATATGTGATCTTTGTCACCTCATTTTCATGAATGGAAAAGAATATTCTGACACCAAAATTACATACTTAATTCTGCCTCACCTTCTTCACTGACCTTCATCCAACACTGCCTTGGGTTTATTTCCTCATCCATCAACGGGTCAAAGTAATTTCTGCTGTATTCATTTCCTGTGGAAAGCACATGAAGTAAGGGTCAGTGATTATTAGAAGCACATGAACCAAAATGTTAATTTTGAAATCGACACCAGCAAGCAAAGGGGCATTTTTTGCTACTTTATAAGCTTAATTTTTTTAACAAGTCCTCTAAGCCTACTAGTACTGCAATTATCATCTTGTGAAAGGTCAGAAAAGGTAATTCTGGAAACAAGTGCACTTTATGTTACTTTTGCTCAGGAACTAATGAGAAAAATTCTCAAATTTAGATCATGGAAAGATAAGAAAAATTTAAACATCCAGCCTCCCCAACATTAGCCAAATTATTCTTGAAACACATTTTACAAGTGAGTTGCCCATGCTGCAGAGAAATTTGCATTTCACAGCTGACCCCTCCAATTTCAACAGGTTAACATTTCACCACTCAGGTTTCAATTTCTGGTGCATCTTTAATACTGTATTCAACCAGAGAAGTTCTTAATTACAGAGGAGATGCTAGAATACTGCCTCATTAATCTGACCAACTATTATATTCAGTTGGACTAGGTAACTAATCCAAGATTTTGTTGGGCTAAAACCACTAGTTTTAGCACTTTCCACTTCAGCAGCTAGTTTTATCAGCTCTTTAAAAAATAATCAAATTTACAAAAAACAGTAATTTGTTAATCTTGTCGAGGGATAACAGCATCTAGCTGCCTAGATGAACTACCAGCAGAAGCCAGAAGAATTTTCTTTACACAAAGGGGGAGTGACGGCTTTTTCCTCAAAATACACTCTTCCTTCAGCAAAAGTGCTACACACTATTAAAACCATCTTCACATTCATTGGGTTTGCAAACACAGTAAACTATTACTAAACAGAGAAAAAGTAAAATAAATAAGTCTATAACAAATCTAAATCTATATCCTGGAAAATACATAAGAGCTAAATGTGCAAGAGGGTTAATTCACCCAAGATACACTATAGTAGTCTACAGTATATTTGTTCTAGGATCAAAAATAATCCAAGCAGCAGCTCCTTTTCAGAGACTAAATGAAACTTTGATATGAAACTAGGTTTAATTTATATTTCTGGACTGGCACATTTGGACTGTCAGTCTCTGTTCCTTCAATGTAGTAAGTACAAGAACTGAAAATTTGCTTTACCTTGAGGTCTCAATAAAGAAAAAATAAATGAGTTTCATTTTTGTTACTTTATCTGTCAACAACTACTAGGCTGGTATGAATCTTGGCAGTATGTAATCAAAGTCTTATGTACTGCAATAACAGAGCCATTCTACCTTATTCACTGTAATTGTTTTTCTCCAGCACAAAGCACTGTGATGTTATATGAACACCCCTTCACATGTTGGTAAAATAATTCACCCATGTGCTAAAAAACAAAATGATGATACATTTCTTCATCCAATTACTGCATAGCTGTAAATGTAAATTGCTGGAAAGTATGTCGCAACCATATAAGCAATACTCAGTTAATGCATAGATTTTTGCACAGTCTTAATATCACAACATCTTTTATTGGATTTTAATACCCCATGTTCTTTATATCCTGTGGGTCTGGTGTGAACCTCTGAGGAGCAGACTTTTGGGCAAATCTTCTGGACAGAATAATTAGCATTTAGGAGGAAGTGTCACATTCTATTTGAGTCTGTGAGGCATGGAAACCATTATTCAAAAAAGAAATACATTGACAAATACCATTAAGCAGCTTGCTCTTTGGTCTTCTTTGAAAAAAAGAGTACGAGATATTTCATCCAGGGCTTTGGCTCTGTCAGAACCACACACAGCTGGAGACAAAGTTACACAGAAGTAAAAAGAAGGATCAGGCTTTATTTCTCCAGAGCAACGTACACACTTTAAAACCTATGTAGGTAGAATGAGCTGTAAAGGCCAGAATCACCTCCCTATGGTGATTTTATAGATAGCAAGCAATTTTAAACTGCAGGGCTCCACAGAAGACTTTTAGTGAGGCTTTCTGAAAAGTTGAAGTCACTGCAAACCTTAGATCACGGCTTTGGAGTTTGTGGGTTGTTTTTTTTTGTCTTTTTTCCCCCCCTCAGCTCACCATACACACCTTGAGAACTGGTGTGACCAGGAGGTCTGGGCTCTGGGCAGCTCCTAAGATTTGTTGGGGGCAAGTGGAGTTGCTTTAGTTTTATAATACAGTATTATCAATTTTAGTCAACAGACTGCCCAAGGCATTTTGCTAATAACATTTTGTGAGCATGTGAATGGATTACTAATCATTTCATATTTGCTTTTAGAAATATTTGAAAGTGTATAACATGCAAATTAACAGTCCACTAAGGAATTCACATTGCTCTGATTTGTGGTATAAACACAGCAAAGTAAATGTTAATACAGAGCTTCCTTGCAGGTGTTTTGAACAGTGATGTATAGCTTGGTGCTTCAGACAGCAATATACCTGCTCCTACAAAGACTTGGTCAATTTTAGAAGCTTAGGTCTTCACTGTGATCCAGAGGTTCAAACCCATGAACTCAATTTAAAATGCTATTTACCCCTCATAAATGTGTTATTTCACATGGAAAACGCAACACATAATTCAGGATAACAGAAGTCCAAAACCACAGATTATCTATAAATTTAAATTAAAATGGAAAGAAGGTGTTGGCACAACAGTGACCAGGTGGGAATTTATACAGTTTAATTAAAGCAAAAGGAGTTGCTAATAAAATTAGCATAATCCTTGAATTCAGCCCATGGGACTGCACATGTATTACTAGGACTGGATGAAACTCTAAGATGGCTTTTAAGCTAAGATGTCTGTAGTCAATTATCCAGCCTATGTCCTGAGAATACCACAGAAATAGCATGACTAAGTTGTACTTCTAACAAAGTCATCTACTTCACAAAGGGATCGGGTAGCCCATATCAATATCACATCAAAGACAGAGCATGGAATTTGGATGACAGACAATATTTCCATTCATCTTGTAGCATTGATGTAGGTTTTTAGTTTAATGAAAGGTAGACAAAACTGTTGAATTTGCTAAGTGCCTCCTGATCAATACAAATATGAAGAAATTTTTAATAGCCAGGTGACTGATTACTAAAAGCTTGAATAAAATCCAGAAGCATTTGCTTGTGCTTGTTTTCAGAGTGATGCTGGTTCTTAGGGATAAAAGCTGAAATTTTGGCATAAGCCAGCTTTCATTACAAGCCAGAATGCAGATTACAGTCTGAACAAACTCACCTTGTCAAGAACCAGCTCTTCCCTTTTAGGCTGCAGAGTGGTCAACACGTTTCTAGCAATGACTTGGTAGAACATTACTGGGCATTACTCAGGCACTAATAGAAGTCTCCTCAGTAAGATATAATGAAACAGAGGCATCCTGGAAAGATCAAATTCCAGTCTGAGATAGTATTTTAGAATCTTAGACTAGCAGAATCATCAAGGTTGGAAAAGACTTTCAAGATTATCAAGTCCAACCGCCCACCCTAGAACCCCTAACCACCAAAACATCTCTTGAAACACCACATCCACTGTTGGGTTTTTTTTAACATCTCCAGGGACTGTGCCTCCACCACTTCCACAGGCAGCCTGTTCCAGTACTGGGGGTTGTTGTGGCCAAAGTGCAGGACCCAACATTTGGCCTTATTGAAACTCATACAATTGGCCTCAGCCCATCAATCAAGCCTGTCCAGATCCCTCTGCAGAGCCTCCCCGCTACATTCAGGCAGATTGACACTCCCACCCAGCTTAGTGTCATCTGCAAACTTACTGAGGGTGCACTTTATCCCCTCATCCAAGTCACCAATAAAGATGTTAAACAGGAGCAACCCCAGCACTGAGCCCTGAGAAACACCCCTCATGACCAGCCACCAGCTGGATTTAACTCCATTGAACACAACTTTTTGGACCCGGCCATCCAAAAAATTCTTTATCCAGCAAAGCGTGTGCACATCCAATCCATGAGCAGCCAGCTTCTCTAGGAGGATGCTGTGGGAAACCTTGTCAAAGGCCTTGCTAAAGTCAAGGCAGACAGCATCCACAGGCCTTCCCTCATGCAATAAGCAAGTCACCCTGTCATAGAAGGAGATAAGGTTAGTCAAATAGGACCTGCTCTTCATGAACCCACACTGACTGGGCCTGATCACCTGTTTATTCTGTAAGTACTGCAAAATGGTACTCAGGATTATCTGTTCCATCAGCTTGCATCTGTTCCTTCCAGCTTTTTGACCCAAAGTGCTTTTAAAACACAGTGATATAGCCAGGAATGGAAACCAGTGGTCCTCACAGCTGTCTTAAGTTACTAATTTCAGCAGCAATTCCTCGGTGAACATCATGGTAAATCCTCACTGCCTCCAGTCAACAGAATTGAGCTTATTTCCCTATAGATATTTTTCATTTTACTTTGCAGATATGACCCTTTGGGCAGCCCAAATGTAAGACTTTGTGTTAGCATATTTTCCATTTTGTTTATGAGAAGTGTATGTGACTGTATGACACAAAGAAGCATCTTGGGCTCAGACCCGAGTCCTAAGAGAGGTGCCCACCTCAACTTGGCCAGCAAGAATAAAGACTTAGGATGAGGAGGAAGGGGAGGGTCCCACCTCCTGCATTTCCAACTGCTTCACTTATTCACCCTTCCTCAAGACATTGTGAGTCTTGTGAGTAGCACTGCTGCTCACCTGCTTTCATGAGTCTGTACCTAATTTGCAAAGCTCAGTACCTGCAGGTTGCTTCTTTGTAGATACAGGCCTTTGCTTCTAATCTGCAACTAGAAAAAAATCTATTAAGAATTACAAAAAAGTTATTCAAAACCACTAAAGCATAATAGAGGGCAAAAATTCTAACCCCTTAAAAAAAAATCTCAACAAATGCAGAAGTGAAGAAAAAATGAAGTCATTAACCAAAATAGCATAACAAGTGACAGTTCCTCAACATGAAAAAACTGACTGGATTTCCAGTGAGTTGGTAGCTTCTTATTTGAATTAAACTTAGAACTAGAAAATAATTTAGGAAAGTTTGAAACTTCTACAAGAAAGAAGTT